CTTTACTACCATCTACACCTTAAGGTTGTTCATCCCTGTAAGTTTAAGCAAAATCTGCCATCCGGTTTAAGAGGAGTTGCGTTCACAAAATTTCTACATAGCATATAGTGAAAAAATCAACAAAGGGCCATAATTCTGTTAAATTTGGTCGCAGCAAAAATTCCTTCCTTTACTGCCATCTACACCTTAAGGTTGTTCATCCCTGTAAGTTTAAGCAAAATCTGCCATCCGGTTTAAGAGGAGTTGCGTTCACAAAATTTCTACATAGTATCTAGTGAAAAAATCAACAAAGGGCCATAATTCTGTTAAATTTGGTCGCAGCGAAAATTCCTTCCTTGACTACCATCTACACCTTAAGGTTGTTCATCCCGGTAAGTTTAAGCAAAATCTGCCATCCGGTTTAAGAGGAGTTGCGTTCACAAGATTTCGGGACATACGGACGGACTGACGGACGGAATGACGGACGGACGGACAAGTGCAACGCTATATGCTCCCACATTGTGGGGGCATAAAAATTGATAGTTTGATGAAATTTGGCTTATTGGTTATTAAGAAGATTTACCATAAACAATTTGGTTGGTTAGACAAGTCAATGATAATAAAAGCTGACTATTCGCACCATCTTTTATATGTTATACATGTCTTAAGTGGACAACACCAAAGTGACTCAGAGTGACTGACCTTTTACTAACTGACCTTAAGAGCATGCAGTAACTTAAAAACCATAGAGTACCAGTTTTTGTGCACTGCACTTCATCTCGATGAGACCTATCATCCTATGAAGTTTCATGCCCAAAGCTTTTATAGGTTAGGAGAAATGGCCAGGATAAAAATAAAGTATGAAAATTAAATAAAGGACAAAAACTCAAAACATAAGGAGTGCAGAGTATCAGTTCTTGTGCACTGCACTTCTTCTTAATGAGATCTATCATTCTATGAAGTTTCAAGTAAATAGCTTTCATTGTTTAGGAAAAATGGCCCGGACAAAAATAAAGTATGAAAAGTAACAAAGGGCGATAACTCAAAAAATAAGAAAAACAGAGTGCCAGTTCTTGTGCACTGCACTTCTTATTGAGATCTATCATCCTATGAAGTTTCAAGCCCATAGCTCTTATAATGAGAAATAATTAATCATGAGAAATGGCCCGGACAAAAATAAAGTATGAAAATCAACGAAGGGCAATAACTCAAAAAATAAGAAATGCAGATTACCATCTCTTGTAAACTGCACTTCTTAATGAGATCTATCATCCTATGAAGTTTCAAGCCCATAGCTTTTATAAATCATGAGAAATGGCCGGACAAAAATAAAGTCTGAAAATCAAAATGGCAATAATTCAAAAAATAAGAAAATGCAGAGTACCATTTCTTGTGCACTGCACTTCTCCTTAATGAGGTCTATCATCCTATTAAGTTTCAAGTCCATAGCTTTTATAATTGAAGAGAAATAGCCCTGACAAAATAAATAAATATGAAAATTAATTAATACTCAAAAATTAAGAAGTGCAGAGTACCGGTCCTTGTGCACTGCACTTCGGGTTATTAAAAGAAGCATGCACACAAAGTTTGAAGTAAATCAGATTTATTGTGACTGAGTAAAGCTCAGGACAAACTTTAGGGGCCGCCGACAATGACGTGGTTGACAAAAGTAACCCCTATATATCACCTTTTCAAGGCGACATAAAAAAAATAATTGTAATTTGTTTTAACAACTTTGGTAGAGCTCCTTTAAATGATACAACAAACCAAACAATAAAACTCTTGGCCAGAAAATATTTCGATACATGCATTTTAAAACCCCTTTGTTGTTTGGTTTCTATGACCCACATAGGCAACCAACTGGAAACATTTGGACAGCTTTGATAAGAGACCACCTATGGAATTTTCCTGTGAAGATTGGTCCAAATACAGTCATGTTTTCAGAAAATATTTTTTTAGTAACTGGTTACAATGCATGACAGACAAAAGGCCATCACAAAAGCTCAGCATGAGCACATTGTGCTGAGGTGAGCTAAGAAACAAAGTTTACATTCTTACAAAAATAAATTGAAAAATCTTGGCAGACTGAACTAACATTAAACAAAGAGTTCATCTCCTGGTACAATGTATTCGGTTTCTGCTGTGTTCCTTCATTGCATTTGACAATATAAAAGTCCTAAATTCTCAACAAAATATTACCTATCTTTTCTATGACAACAAATTTATAAAACTGCTACACTAAAGGCCTTACTCAGTCAAAATTCACATCAGAAAATAACAGTATTCTACCTTTCCTGGAATAATTCAGGTAATAAATTAAGACAGTGTGCGAAATGGCAATGAATGCTTCCAAACACTAAACTGAGTATGTGAAGGAAAATGTAAAATCTCTATTATTCTTGCAATTGACCTCAACAACCCCAACTTAAGTTAGAGAACTACAGAAGAAATGTTCTTACCAAACATGAAATGCTTTTTTGTCAATTAATAATGGTTGTTCAAGCAAGTGTAGAATATTCTTTGCACTTGTGACCTTTACCCTAGTAATCTCAAACTCGCACAGAGTTACTAAAAGGACCATAAAAAGTATCTACCTATCAAATATGAAAGATATTGGTCAATAAATAAAGTTAAAAGGAAAAACTGTAGGACATAATTGCGACATAATTAAAGGACAAAGCAGCATCTATATGCTTTGCAAATGTTTTCAGGAAGCATCAAAAGGTAGAATACTGCATAAGGAGATCTTCACTTTAAATTAATTTTAGGTAATTGCTTGTTGCTGCATTGTTTTTTCAATCACTATAAAACATTATCGACATTGTCCCAAAGGACATTTAATTCAATGAGATCTTGACTGTCAGAATTGTAAGAAGCTACACACTCTCAAGTAATTTTTAAGATATACGCAATTAACTTTTCCCCCATTGTGTAGGTTTTTCAAAAGTCTTGTAATTTCTGACATTGGATTTGTAAAGTTCAATTTCATCCTCCTGGTACAAGTGACAAGTTATGGCTAATTTGTCAGGCACTGCACTACTTTATGTCCAATATGTGACAGTGTCAGGCTCTCTCATTGATATGAGGCACCAACAGTTCTTTTGGAAATAGCTACATGTTTCCAGTATCCAAGGCGTAACTCACTCCATCCTGAAATCAGTAAAACCACAGTATTAACATATTTTCCTTCATTATCAATGATAATATTCATGTCAATGAATTTGGTATTTTTTGTTTGTTTTTTTTAAAAATGAATTTGCATCATCCACCAAAAAGCAGTCAACACTGTAACACTAGTCAAAGTAAGTCATCTGTTTCTTACTCAAGTTAAAAAGTTTATTGCAGATTATTGTGCAATAAATTTGCATTAAAATTTCATGCATAAGAAAGAAATTATTTTTCCTTCGGTAGAAAGAGCAATAAAATCCACCATGCTGGACCTTTTTTATTCATAAAACAAAAACATCAGATGAATATTATTGTAAAGAATATTACAAGAAAAAAACATTATTTTAGCCCCACTTCTTTTTAAAAAACATAAATAAATAGAGGTATTGTTACAGTCATTTTGGCATTGCCATACGCAAACTTGTACCTTGATTATATCTTTTTAAGTTCTTGGTGTATTGTCTTCATACTTGGGACCAAACTAACCTTGACCTTCATTGACTTTGATATTCAAAGTCAATTATCTAAGTTTTGCTTGTTTTTTTTTTTTTTGCTATTAGTGGCTTTAACTTCGTTATTTATGAATGGACTGTCTTTAAACTTGAGCATCATAAAGAATATACTATCAAGTTTACCACCTTGAAGGTTGAATAATTGATTTTTTTACTACTTTTTGCTTTAATTGACAGTAACTTGGTAATTAATAAATGGATCATCTTTATACTTAAGAAAACAACATTTTGAACAAGACCTTCTAAAAGGTTGAAGTAACCTTGATGACCTTGACTGTCAAATTATTGAATATCATTATTTTATTATTTATGTACAGATTTGATTTAAACATGGACATGACAAGACTTACAACCTAACAAACACATTGAGTAATTTAGATGTGACCTTGTACTTAAATTAACCTGGAATGTCAATGTTAAAGCTGCTGGTCTCCAAGATGAGCCAAAATATTTCACGAAAATCAATATTAAGAAAATGTACTACAATTTTAAGAAAGTAAAAACATTCAAGATCCAAGATGCAGTATTTTATCACCATTTTTCTAACACGTTACTAACACAGTAAGGGCTGTTTTTGCACGTTTTTCTAATTTTCTTGGATTGTAAGTGCTGATTGCAATATGTAAATTACTATTTTTGTTCACCTCAAAATATTTTACTTTCAAAATTTTCATGAAAGTTAACATGAATCTGGATGCAACTTGCTTTAAATTAATGAAATTATATAACTAGCTATAAGCCTATAACTTTGTTATTTATAAATGAATTCATATTAAGACATAACATATCTTAGGTCAGGACCTTCATGTATATCAAACTCAAATTGACCTTTACTTATGTTTGACCTTGACCTTGAAGGTAAATTATTTTATTTTCTCTGATATCGCTATAATTGGCTGTTATTCTGTAATTTATCAATGGATTTTTTTTTCATACTTTAGAAAAAATAAACTTGAATATGACATTCTTAAAGGTTGAACTGACCTTGACTTTTAAATGACCCTGACTATCAAATTATTGAATTCTTTGTCATTTATTAATGGAAAAGATTCATACTTGGACAAAACAAGTGTGACTAGACAAAAAAAAAAGAAAAATACATTATTTTTCTTCTTTTATTTTCTTTTTATTAAACTGTTTATTTGTTTGCTTTTAGCATTGCCCCTGCCCCCGCCCAGCAGCTGCTCTTATCTTGTACAAAACATAATTAAAGTTTCATATCTGACCTTGTCTGACTGATCTTTTTAACCCCAGGCAAACCATATTTTAACTTGAACAAAAAATCAACATTAAACATTTTTTTTGGTATTATAATAAACATTAAATTTTTAAGATTGCAAAATTTTTATGCCCCCACAATGTGGGTGCATATAGCGTTGCACTTGTCCGTCCGTCCGTCCGTCAGTCCGTCCGTCCGTACGTCCCGAAATCTTGTGAACGCAACTCCTCTTAAACCGTATGGCAGATTTTGCTTAAACTTACAGGGATGAACAACCTTAATGTGTAGATGGTAGTAAAGGAAGGAATTTTCGCTGCGACCAAATTTAACAGAATTATGGCCCTTTGTTGATTTTTTCACTAGATACTATGTAGAAATTTTTGTGAACGCAACTCCTCTTAACAGGATGGCAGATTTTGCTTAAACTTACAGGGATGAACAACCTTAATGTGTAGATGGTAGTAAAGGAAGGAATTTTTTGCTGCAACCAAATTTAACAGAATTATGGCCCTTTGTTGATTTTTTCACTATATACTATGTAGAAATTTGTGAACGCAACTCCTCTTAAACCGGATGGCAGATTTTGCTTAAACTTACAGGGATGACAACCTTAATGTGTAAATGGCAGTAAAGGAAGGAATTTTTGCTGCGACCAAATTTAACAGAATTATGGCCCTTTGTTGATTTTTTCACTATATACTATGTAGAAATTTTGTGAATGCAACTCCTCTTAAACCGGATGGCAGATTTTGCTTAAACTTCCAGGGATGAACAACCTTAATGTGTAGATGGCAGTAAAAGGAAGGAATTTTTGCTGCAACCAAATTTAACAGAATTATGGCCCTTTGTTGATTTTTTCATTATATACTATGTAGAAATTTTGTGAACGCAACTCCTCTTAACCGGATGGCAGATTTTGCTTAAACTTCCAGGGATTAACAACCTTAATGTGTAGATGGTAGTAAAGGAAGGAATTTTTGCTGCGACCAAATTTAACAGAATTATGGCCCTTTGTTGATTTTTAGTTTTCAACTTGTGGCACATGTAGTCCAAAAATATTTGACCTAGAGTCATAAGATTGACAGAACAGTGACGTGTGGGGGCATCCGTGTCCTATGGACACATTTCTAGTTTTAGATGGCAATATCAAACGACAACATGACTCTATTCATCACAAAGTCTTCATATGTCACATAGTGATTGGTCATAACTAGTAGATGACCCCTATTGATTTTGGGGTCAAAGGTCAAGGTCACAGGGGCCTTGAATGTCAAAATGGTTTCCGCTGATTATCTTGAAAAGTATACATCACACAGTCTTCATATTTCACATAATGATTGGTCGATGACTAGTAGATGACCCTATTGATTTTGGGGTCAAAGGTCAAGGTCACAGGGGCCTTGAATGTCAAAATGGTTTCCGCTGATTATCTTGAAAAGTATTCATCACAAAGTCTTCATATTTTCACATAGTGATTGGTCATAACTAGTAGATGACCCCTATTGATTTTGGGGTCACTAGGTCAAAGGTCAAGGTCACAGGGCCTTAAATGTCAAAAGGGTTTCCGCTGATTATCTTGAAAAGTATTCATCACAAAGTCTTCATATTTCACCTAGTTATTGGTCATAAGTAGTAGATGACCTCTTTTGATTTAGGGTTCATTAGGTCAAAGGTAAATGTCACATGGCATTAAATGTCAAAATGTTTTCTGTTGATTTTTCCATAATTGAACACTTCCATTACCCATTTTTTGGCAAGTTTCAATGTAATAAAATTACCAATTATGTGAGTCAATGGCTAGAAAGGGGGGTATATGTGTCGTTCGACATTCTTGTTGTTTCTTGTCCAACACCAGTTTTCCATTGATTATTATCATATATTTTATTAAAATGTAGGCCTGTTTTAGTCAATCCTCCAATGATTACACTGCTTTGTATTTTAGCTCACCTGTCACAAAGTGACAGGGTAAGCTTTTGTGATCGCTTTTCGTCGTCCGTCCGTAAACTTTTGCTTTTAAAATGACATCTCCTCATAAACCACTGAGCAAAATTTCATCCAAACTTCACAGAAATGTTCCTATGATGGTCACCTTTAAAAATTGTTCAAAGAATTTAATTCCATGCAGAACTCTGGTTGCCATGGCAACTGAAAGATAAATCTTTAAATATCTTCTTTTAAACAACCCTAAGAGCTAGAGCTTAGATATTTGGCATGAAACATCTTTCTAGTGAGTGTCTACCAAGTTTATTCAATTAAAAGCCCTTGGGGGTCAAAATTGGCCCCGCCCCAGAGGGTCATTGATTTTTCCCTATATGCATATAGTAAAAAGTTAAAAAATCTTCTTTTAAAGAACCCAAAGAGATAGAGCTTAGATATTTGGCATGAAACATTTAGATATTTGGCATGAAACATCTTCTAATGAGTGTCTACCAAGTTTGTTCAATTAAAAGCACTTGGGTCAAAATTGGCCCGCCCCAGGGGGTCATTGATTTTCCTTATATGTGTATAGCAAAAACTTAAAAAATCTTCTTTGAAAAAAAAACAAAATAGCTGGAGTTTAGATATTAAGCATGAAACATCTTCTAGTGAGTGTCTACCAAGTTTGTTCAAATAAAAGCCCTGGGGTCAAAAATTGGCCCGCCCCAGAGGTGTCATTGATTTTCCTTATATGTGTATAGTAAAAAAACTAAAAAATCTTCTTTTAAAAAAACCCAATGAGCTAGAGCTTAGATGTTTAGAAATGAAACATCTTCTTATGGGTGTCTACCAAGTTTGTTCAAATAAAAGCCCTTGAGTTAAAATTAGCCCTGCTGGGAGGGGGGGGAGGGGGGAGAGATCGTTGATTTTCATTATATGTGTGACATAAAAACTTGACACATGAAACATCTTCTAATGGGTGTCTTTCAAGTTTGTTCAAATAAAAGCCCTGGGGTTTAAAAACTGGCCCCGCTCCAGGGGCCTATATACAGGTGAGCGACCTCAGGGGCCATCATGGCCCTCTTGTTCAAAAAGTCAAAGTTATGCATACTCTATTTTTTCAAGATTGATTGTATTACACATAATGTGGATAAAAGAGTAATAAAAAAAACCCATTCTCTTGAGTCTTGTTGATGATGACGTAAGAGATACCAGCGAAATGAATCAACATGTAAAGTTTTTTTCTAAAAGCCCATTTTCCTTGTGTTGCCTGATTTTGGTAACCACTTTTTTTTTGAATATCAAGAAATGCCTTCAAAAATCATATGTATATAGTGCTTTGACACTGTTGCAGTAAGTATTTCAAATTTTCAATGCTATACCTTATTGAATGTATTACACAATATTCACATTTCATTACTAAAAATATTTTATATATATATTATAAAAAACTGTTTCATTTATTAGAAATATTATCCAAAGAGTCTTGTACATAAATAGAATATAAAACTTGATAGATATGCACTTTTATTTACCTTTAACCTTAATCTGCTAAATTTCTTAAATGGACTTGTCTTGCCCTCCAAATTTATGCTGGATAAAAATGTTTTGTAAGTCAGCCAATAGCTTGGTCAGACGGCACACATATGCAGACTTGTCAGATTCTATACCCCTGGTTCCAGCAAGCTAAGGGTAAAACATGTATAAACAAGTTTTTTTCAACTGAAGATCACGAAAAATCTACAGAAGAATGTT